GTGAGTTAGATTTACTTAGCTAAAGGCAATTTCCAAAAAGGGCTAACAGCTGCAGACTGTTCAGGTGTAAACACTCCCAAAACCTGAGGGAGTAAGTACTTGAATCCTGAAGGCAGCATCTTAGCAGCACAATACAGACTCCACTACAGTGCTTACAAGATATAAAACAAGTACTCCTGGAATAATTAAGTATATTTGGGTCTTTCTTGTTCTTAATATCTACTGAGTTTCTCTTCTACAAAGAGCACGTATTCTGAGTTACTTCATGATATGCTGAAAAAGACATTTTGGGAATGTCAAGCAATTGTTGATTTCTCAGACTATCATTGCATTTTCATGAATATATATTACTTTTTCTTACAACTCATGCTTCATCTTAAGGGAAAAATAATGACAGATAGTTCTGAGGCATTGCTTGCTCTCAACTCAAAAAACAATGTCATCTGCATAACCAAAATCTCCTACAAATTGGAAACAGAAGACCTTGCTATTATTTCAGGAATAAAACACTTTATGAAAACCTCACTTGTCATGTCTTAATGATTTGCAATAATCACTAAATTTTTCTAAGATAAGCCTCATTTATTGTTTTTTCCCTTTTATTTGTTATTTAATGCTTGCTATATGCTGGGCACTGTACTAAATGATTCATAAATAGCAATTCACTTAATTCTAATAAGAGATAAAATTACTAAACATATTTTATTGATGAACATATTGAGGCATACAGAAAGTTAAGTAAATTACACAGCTGTTAAGTAGTGGAGGTGGGCTTTTAAGCCAGGCAGTCTGCATCCAGTGTCTCTGCTCCTCACTCCAATGCTATACTATCCTCACAATGTCATCTGCTGATGTCATGCATCTTCTTATACTCCATGGGAATATGCATGTGAGATCTCCATTTCTTATCCTTTGATGCTTATCAATAATATGTTCATCCTATGGGATCCTAGACAGTTCTGTCTCTTAAATGTATGTGTAAATGTGTGTGTGTGTGTGTGTGTGTGTGTGTGTGTGTGTATGGTGTATGTAGAGAAAAAGGTGGTGATGGTGGTGAGAGGTTTAAGCAGATAGCATAAGACAAAAGATTGTTGTGCATATGAAGTGTGCATTGTTATTCCAAGCAGCAGTAATCCTATCACATGTCAAGATTATATCATAAAATATCATGGAATCTAGGATCTTATTTGTGTTCTAAAATTACTTCTGATGAGAAAAATACCTTAAAGAAGTTCTATCCAGCCGACATTACACAGGATATCCTACAAAAATAATCTGTTTTTCCATGCAAGTTTAACTAAGAAACTTTGGTCAAAAACACATTTCCAGACCATCTCATGATAAGAATTTTTCTTTTTCACTTTGTTCAATTCCTTCTCAAAATATCTTGGAGTTTTTCCAATTTCATCATAAATGTCACAGATATGCACCAGTTATTATAAACAGTTATTCCCAGTTATGTTTATTTCTAATGGCATTGCTCTATTTACCTCTCTTATGTCATGCTTTCTGGAAAAGAACTTTTTCAAAATTGTCATACAGACCAATGTAGCCTCCTTAGACATAGGCAAAAATAATTTTCAGTGTTCAATATGCTACTCCCCACTCAATCCTATGCCCAATCTCGGCACTTACTTAATGGGGCAACATTACAAGATTTGTTTTCAGGCTCCCCATTATGTCTGAGCTGCAGACTTGAGGTACAATAGAAATGGTACAGATGCTGTTTTGCCAAAACTACTCTTCAATATCCTTGCTACACTGCAAAATCAACAAGCTCTTTCCTGCCCAGATTGTTATGGGCAGAGGATCTGGGATGCATGTGATCTAAATCACAGAAACATTTCTCATAGGGTGGATAGACAAGGGAACTAAGATTTTTTATTATCAAGCCAAGCATCCTATAAATCTTCAAATCATGTGTTGAGTCATATTTACCCCCATTACAGGGGCCAAAGTAAAGAAATTTTGTATTTCCATACCCATTAGTTTAACAGATGATTTTGAATCAGCCAGTAAAAAGGCCAGGTTCACAGGGGTCCATCCTTGTTTATTAAAATGGGATTTCTTGAGAAAAAGGCATTCCATGCACATATCCTCAGGTATCTGCAAGGATTCTATGAAAACTACTAATTCAATATTGATATTTTGGTAATAATATAAATATATTCATTAAGCATAATCTATATAATCCCATTGACCAATTAATCCTGAGACCTCTCATTTATTTCAATGCCTGCATGAATGTATTTAGGCTTATCATCATGTTAGTGTTAAATAATATAATTTTACTGTTATTGCCTAATTCTCAAAAATGAAGTGAATGTAATATATAAATGATATCAGTAGCCTCTAGGAAAAGACAAATGACCTGTCACCACACTCAGAACAGAGGTTTCACAGTAGATATTTGTCAACTTATAATGGTGTTACTTCTTGATAAACCCATCATAAATTAAAAAGCTCATGAAATAGAAAATTTATTTGATACATCAACCTTACTTACCACCACCACAGCTTCCCAACACAGCACACACTAGTGTCAGCTGATTCCTCTTGTGATTGCCTGACTCACTGGGATCTGTAGTCAACTCCCACTGCCCAACATTATGAGAAAGGATCAGATTGCATATCACTAGCTGGGGAAAAGATCCAAATTCAAAATTTAAAGTATGATTTCTATTTAATGCTTTTGACTTTTGTACCATCAAGTCAGAAAATCAAAAGTCAAACCATTGTAAATCAGGGATCATCTGTAGTTTAAGAGAAATGTGATGCGAAAATTGAGTTGGTAAACGGCATATGGTTGTAAAAGTTTGCTGAACTCAAAAGAATCTTATAGCAGAACCACTCAGAAAGAGGGTCAATATCAATCCTTGCCTCAAAGCCCTTTGTACCCATTGTTCCCTCTGTCTAGAATACTCACCCCCCTTCCATTCAGTAATACCCAAATACTCCTTCATCTACAAGTTTTTGTTCCAATGACACCTTCTGCATGAGGCCTTTCCTATATTGCAAACTGAAACTCCCTTTTCCCCAAACTCTTTATTTCTCCTCCCTAGATTTTTCTCTTTAGCACTTATTTTCATCTCACATACACTACATATTTTGCTTATTTGGGTTTTTTTGAGGCCTTTAAAATAGATTTATTGAGATATAATTTATATAACATTCAATTCACCCATGATTCAATTAGTATACTCACAGACATGTACAATCAAATTGTCTCCTACTAGAATGTGAGATCCATGAAGACAAGGAATTTTGTTTAACTTACTAATATCTGCAGCTCCTAGAAAAGTGTCATTGGAAATAGGAGGTGCTCAACTAATGAAATGTGTGTTGAATGAATAAATGAACACATAAACGATTGCATATTTATATTGTGAGTACTGGTCTGCCTTTGTCACATCCACCTTATTTGTCATATCAGTGTTATTAATTTCTAGCTTGTTACTTTGTAGTTTTGCTTATTTTTCATTTGTAAACCTATTTTTTATTTATACTTGTATAAAAACAATCCATACTCATGACTATCATGCTTAGCATCAGGGCCTTGCATATTTAAATTATGCAATAAAAGGCAGTAAAGATAAAAATTGGGTTCCTTTTCTCCCCTTGAAAATACATTTGTATATTGTTCAAATTTAGAAAACAATGTTGGATAAGAAGACTTTTCACTAGTGAGAGTCAGAAGGGGGTTCTGTTTGCTGGGGCACTCTGTGATTTCATCACTGTGTTTAATCTTTCAAGTTTCTCTTCTCTCTCTGTACCCCACCTTGGGCAGCAAGAATTTTACAGAATAAGAAATAGGATGTGAGCTGTTGAGCAGCATTTTAACAAAAACATAAAGCTATAGCACTATTACCAAAGCAGCCAGCTCCTCCCCTGCCTATTAGTGTTACTCAAAAATTGCAACAGTTTTAAGAATCCATCTTTTAAATAAGGTTTCATTTCTCTGAAATTGTAGCTATTGTAAAGCACATTCAGAGGTTTATATGGTAGTGTGTATTTTCCCCCTTAAGTTGATGGGTGTAACTATTAGGCAGAATGCACTGAAAAATCAATTGTTCTGGGGATGATTTCCCCACCAATTGTTCTATCCCGAAGTGTTTCCATGGTGCTAGCTCTGTATTTCAAATGCTTGCTAAGCTCTTTTTTTTTTTTGGAGCAATTTCTTTGATTATTCCAGAAGGCCCAGTACAGCACTTTCAAATACAGAAGGAATGCTATAATTTAAAGGTATTCTATGAATAGGCTTTTCCAGCCTCAGTCTTTGAGGTGGGAATAAAATACTGGGTTCTGGAATTAAAAACTCCTCTCTATCCACTCCCTACCCCTGCACCAACCATGGATATCCCACATATAGCAATCCTTAAGTCCCTCATATAGCTTCAAAATGACACCTATTCTGGAGTTTAAATCTCAGATCTGTGAGTAGGAAATCCAACCACTACTAAATGTCACAGTAAGAAAGAAAAGGGAAGCTTCAGATCATATGTATAAATATGTATTGCAAATGGGCAAATTCCCTTTCTCTCCTCTTTCTCAACACACAAATACCTATTGTTGCTGGACTGTGTGGATAAAGAAAATTAAAATCAGCTTTAACAAAAAATATTCCCTAGTGGTCCAGACCATCATATCATATCCTGCAGTCCAGAGATGCACCCTTTAGTGTATTATCTTACTACATATGGCATTGCTATAGTTTCAATCTGGTATGTACTCCAAAAATCTTCTAATCATGTCCTAATCCACATGAGTAGAAGGTGGTAGAAACTTTAGAAGGTGGGGACTAGTGGAAAGTTTTAGATCACTGTGGCCATGTCTTCGGAAAAGATTACATAACCATGGCCTTTTTTCTTTTTCCACTTTGCTTCCTGAGCAGCTTGCTCCATAATGCACTCCCCACCACAGGTCCTGTCTTTCTAGGGACCCGAAAGCAATGGTCCCAAGTGATCATGGACTAAAAACTCTGAAACCATGAACCAAGAAACTTTTTTCCTTATAAATTGATTCTCTCAGGCATTTGTTACAGTAACAGAAAGCTGACTAACACATGTATCAAATGAAAAAAAATTATCATACCATCTTCTTTTATAACACTTTTAAAACAGTGATATTGAGTCCCAGGTGTCCAGTGTGAGTCTTCTATCTTCTGTTTGTCATGAGTCTCCTGGGACAAATTAAAAAGCATAGAGTTCACCTTTAGTGCTGTGCTTCCCCTTTCTCAGTGTCTCTCACAAAGTTTATGGATTTTAATCAACTGCTTTCAACTCTTGGCCCACCTTCATCATTATTATAACCATAAGACTACTTACAGTAAAAAATATGGGCAACTCAAAACCATCTGTGGAGGCCCCATAGGTACTAACCTTTGTGAGGACAAGTTTCTTTTTTATTGTCTAGTGGGCTCTAACATGTGTATCATACTTTCTCATTAAACTTTCTTCTCATTGAACATTTTTAAATGAAGCCTCTTAAAAATGTCTTTGCACTTGGCAGTAACATTTCAAGACCCATTCTGTTGCTCAAAAGAATCTCTGTCTTTACCTCATCTCCAGCCTGTTCCATTACCTGGTTCTTTTCACTTTATATTCATACTTCTTAATGTTCATCAGAGGCTCATTTTGTCCTTAAACCAAACCCTTTAAGGATGTCTCCTAATAGGATGCTATATTAATTATCAACTGCTATGTAACAATGTTTGCACTAATGACAGCTTATAACAACACACATTTATTATCTCACAGTTTCTGTCAGTCAGGAATCCGGCATGACTTGGCTGGGTCCCATATATCAGGGTATCTTATGAGGCAAGGGTGTTGGCCAAGGATAGTCTCATCTGATTCTTGAATGCAAAAATATATTCTTCTAAGTATATGTGATTGTGTAGAATTCAATTCCTTGGGGGAATATTGGCCAGAGCCTACCCTCCATTCCTTGCCTTGTGGGCCTCTGTAATATGGTGGTTTTTATTTCATCAAAATCAGGAAGGGTTGGGCTGGGGTTGTGGCTCAAGTGGTAGAGCGATTGCCTAGTACTTGTAAGGCACTAGGTTCGATCCTCAGCACCACATAAAAATAAAATAACAATATAGTATCCACCTAAAACTAAAAAAAAAAAATTTAAAAAGAATCAGGAAGGGAACTAAGGGATGGGAAGCAGGGAGGGAGGGGAAAAGTGCTAGGGAGTGACATTGGTCAAATTATATTGTTATATTGTGTACATGTATAAATATATAGCAAATCCTATCAATACATACAACTATAATGCACCAATTATGAATGTGGGGCAAAAAAGGAAGGGAGAGAATCTGTTGAAGGAAGTCACAATTGTACATAGACTAATCCTGGAAGTGACATCCCATCACCTTTGTACTGTATTTGTTGGAAGAAAGTCACATGTCTCTCCCACACTCAAGTGGAGGGAGTCACAAAAAGATGTGAATATTAGAAGGCAGGGATAATTTAGAGCCATCTTAGTATCTGTCCACCATGGATGCTCCACAACTAAAAACGATGCCTAAATTTTTACTAGTAAAAATTTTAAAATAGCAAGTTTGCCAAATTGGCTCAGTTTTAGCAAATACTATTGATATCTCCTTCATATTTCCCTAAGCCTAACTAATTTTGGTGTATCCTGGCTGTACCATCAAATGCAAGCATTTATATGTCTGTGTTTGAAGACTTCTCTCCTGATAGAAGATGGCACTGCCTATGCCCACTATGGGTTGAAGTACATTAGAATAAACACCCACTGGTATCAGATCTCTACCAATGACTAATAAGGTTTGTTGTGTAAATATCTCAGTTCTTTTGTCCCTTGGTTAGAATAACTGAGGTCTGTTCTATACTGCCTCCCAGGGTTCCCCACTAATTGACTAACACATCATTGGTTGGCTGCTTCCCTCTCTCTCCCTCCTCTATGCTACTAGTACTTCTTGGGATCACCTCTCAACTAAACTATTTGTGTTCAAAACCTGCTTCTGGGTGAATCTAAACTAAGACATCAGTCATTTTTTTCCAATTTTCAGATCTCTGGTGCTAGGATAGAGCACCAAAATCAGAGCATGTTTTAGAAACACCATCTTAGAACTTTGTTTTTTTAAAAAGTACTTGGTTTCATACAAGACAATATCACTGCCCTTCATCTTACTCTCCAAACTTGGTCTTTTCCTTTGTTAAGTTCTTGAAGTTGCCTTTGACAGTTAGGATCAGTATGAACTTTTAATAAAGTGGGTATTTAAATGCAATTTCTGAAAGCAATCTTCAAGAAACTCCACTACTATGCTAAAAATACACAATAATGAGCAGAATTAGCAGTTTTTACTTGCTTCCACTTCTAGGAAGGCCCATAACTTCCAATGGGTTCAGAGTGGGATTTTCCTAGTGTTCTTTACCCAAGGAAAACTAAGAAGCATTAGGTGATAATCACACTGTATGACTGCACAGGCCAACTGTATTTAGCAGTCTTGGCTAGAAGCCTCAGGGGATTAAAGTAACCTCAGTGAGATGCCTGACACTTGCTGATACTTCATTTTTCACTATTTTAAAGACACACAAGCACACATCAGAAATATAATAGTGAGGTCAAGAAGGGTGTGCTTTCAGTGAGTGACATCTTGTTGAAGGAATGGTTCACGGAGAGCTTTTATTTTTAATAGGTTTACCACAAGCACAGTTGTATACATAAAATGCCCATGTGTAGTGCTTTACTATGCAATCTATAATTTGGTACGGTGCTCAGTAATATAGGCAGGCAAATCAGGTATTACTGTCTCCATTATAGTTGAGGTTACTGACCCTCATAAAGTCAGACAGCTAATAAATAATGGAGCCAAAAGTACCTCTTTCACTTATTCTTGAAGGCTGTACTTAATTTTAATTTCCTCCAAATTTATCCCTTTTCCCCTTAGGACTCTTAATATTTAAACCATAATATTGCTAGGAGATGAGAGGAAAGGAAAGGAAGAGAAGGGGAGGAATGGTAAAGGAAAGGGAAGACAAGAGAAGAAGGGAAAAATGGTAAAGTTTAAAAAAGGAAAGAGAGTGGTAAGCAAGGAAGAGTGAGATCTATCTGTACATCGCCTGCCCCCATGAAATTCTTTATACCAGGCTCAGCTTATATGCCCTGCCAAAGTTTTGCTCTTTTCTTGTTTTCAGTGGCTTGCCTTGTCTCTGTCATCATGGACCCAGGTTAATTCACTGCTGCTGCTGCTTGATCACTGTTAGAGATTAGCTAGTAAAGAAAGACCAACCCATTTGTGCCTTGAATGGGATGGATCTGAAGAGTTCTGGTTTTCCCAACAGCTGATAAGAATAATTCCTGTGTCTTAGGTTGGATTTTTGAGGCAGCAGATTCTGAAAAAGAGATTTACATACAGGAAGATTATTGAGAAGCCCCACCAAAACAATGCTGATAAGGGAGAGCAAGGGAAGCCTGATTGCCAGATTGGGCATAGGAAAAAATTTAAACTTTAATATACTCACCATAAAGACTTCAGCCAGAAGAAGTCCCAGAGGAAACTCTGGGGACTTGGATGGCCCCTCAGAGCTGTCCTAGTAGCTCCCTTCAGGCCAGAACAGTAGTTGCCAAAGCATAGCCTATGGGTCATTCCCCTCTTCTTGTAAATAAAATTTCATTGGAACACAAGCACGCTTATTTAATTATGTATTGCCTTTGGTTGCTTTCATGCTACGATAGTAGACTTGAGTAACTGTGACAGAAACTGAATTGCCTGCAAATTATGAAATAGTGAATATATGATCCTTTACAAAAAAAAAAACTTGGTAACCCTGGCCCAGTGCAATTCTCTGAGAGGGATCATTTGAACCATCAACATCCAACATTCCTGGCAACTTGAGGAATAAGTGCCTAGGTCCAGCACACTACATCATCCACTACAGGAAATTAATACACTATAAAGAAAACTTGACTAATGAAAGATAGTGGACAGATGGGAGCCAGAGGATAAATCCTTCTTTCTTCAGCCGTGATGGACTATTCTGAGACATAAGAGTTCATACTGCTTTTCTGAAGTTGTCTCATAAGCCCTGCTAAATGCCTATACTTGTTGCAAAAAAATAGCTAGCTTAAAAGCATATCCTCTAATATTTTTCTCCTGCCTCTTCTACTTTGGTAAACCTTTCCTTTCACTCCTGTTTTCTTGGATTTGCCCTTTTCCAATAAAATTTAGCACTTTACGCCTTTTGCCTCAGGCTGCAAAGACCTGTAAAATCCAAATATTTAGAATTTAGCATGGAACTAGTATAGGGTTAGAGTAGTGGAACATTCAGAGGTATAAGGACATACACTCCTTGTCATCTCATTCCCAAATCCAGGACATTTTTCAAAGATACATACCTCCCCTCAAATATCTATTGGGTATAAACTTTGCCCTGAGGTTGCCCTGAAGTGTTAATACTTCTGTCCCTCTTGCTCCCATTTGCTCACAACCAAGATAAAATACTTGTCCTTCTTCCTGAGGCTCCTGTTCCAGAGCTGGGAAGCATGTTTATTATATCTGATACTTGCTTTACTTACCCTGAGGGTATTCCTGTTGATCTTTCAGGATATCATGGTTCACCTTGTGAGTTATAAAACCACCAAGGGAAAAAGAGTAGTTCCAGCCAAGATACAATTTTAAGAAGATACACAAACTAAAGTGGAGAAAAAGGGCCCTCAGGCCGCTCTGTGCTTCTAAAGCAAAGCTCCCAAAAAAAAAAAAAATGAAATAAGCAGGCCACACACAAGGAAGCAGGCAAACTTTGTTTTGCTGAGAGGACTTTTTTCCTTGGATTAATTCCAAGAGGGAACAGGCACCGAGTGAGTCATAGAATAAGTAGGGCAGAGTTTGCCTTTCAGGGAATGCAATAGTGTGTGGGTGTACTCATGGTTCCTCAAGGATGCTCAGCAGGCAAGTCTCCCCAAAGTCCAGGCTCATCCATGTGACCTTGCTCTGGTTCTTTTCACATACCTAACACAAAATGAATTTTAAGTGGAAACTCAGGTTTGTGGTCTGCCCCCTTGTTTAAGAGGTTGATTTGGACAAGGCTGGGTCTGTGGTTGGTAAGGGAATCCCCAACCTGAATAATTGACAAACTGTGTGGCAGACATAATAGAAATTTGGATGGTATCGATTTAGAGCTATTCAATGGGATGTCAATAGCAAGAAAAAAAATTGGGGTACCAGGGATTGAACTCAGGGGCACTCGACCACTAAGCCACATCTCCAGCCCTATTTTGTATTTTATTTAGAGATAGGGCTCACTGAGTTGCTTAGCATCTCACTAAGTTGCTGAGGCTGGCTTTGAACTCGAAATCCTCCTGCCTCAGCCTCCAGAGCTGCTGGGATTAAAGGTGTGCACCACTGCATCTGTGACACAAGGGAATCTTGAGTCCTGAGGCCAATGTATGAGGCCAAAGGTGGAATATGCTATAGAGGAATTCAAGAAGAAGATCCAAATAGACGAGGAAAAGTAATCCTGAATAGTACCAGGTTTGGAAGGGTGCTGTCCATGGCTGAGTATTTATGGAACTGAATGATTCCAAAATCACCAGTTTCCATGTGAGTCACAGTACCAGAGATAAAGATACTGCTCTAAAGTCAATACATATGCTGTATATTTCAGTATGAGAGATAGAATCAAAATCTAATAACTCATAATCTAATACAGTTGTCCCTTGTTATCTGTGGGGGATTGGTTTCAGAACCCCCCTGAGGATACCAAAATCTGTAGATGCTTAAATCCTTTATATAAAACAGCATAGTATTTGCATAGAACCTATGCACTTCCACAATCATCTCTTGATTACTTATAATCCCTAATACAATGTAAATGATATGTAAATAGTTGTTATCTGTATTGTTTAGGGAATAATGACAAGGAAAAAATTTTATACATGTTCAATATAGATGCAATTTTTTCCTCAGTGTTTTGGATCCTTGATTGGTTGCATCTGCTGATGTGGAACCTGCAGATGTGGAGGGATGGCTGTAGTTATTTGGGGGCAATAATTTCCAGCAGAATCAAACTATTTCTTCATATGCAAACTGACCTGGAAGTATAACAGAGAAAGAAGAGAGAAGCTACTGTTGTTAAGAATGAGGTAAGGGACGTGGGTGTGTTAGAAATATTCACCCTCTTCCAAAAATCTGGGACCCTGAGGTTATTAAATGTCATTTCAAGGCTCTGCATGATATACTTTGAGACAAAATTCTATGCTACCTGAAAGCAGCTGAGTAAGGTGATTGAGGTAGAGAATTGGCAGGGTTGAAATTAGATAAATTAAAACAGTTTCCATTCTTCTTGCAACTGATGAATTCATGAGTTGAATATTCTAGAGTGCAATTTCTTCCTCTATAGTTCCCATGAAGAGCATATGTAGGCATTCAGAGTTCTTGTCATTGCTGAAAAAACTGATAGTCTCAAATACTGTTTCTTAGTATCCATGTTTGTGTGTGCACATGCATGCCATAAAATGAAGACCTCTTTTTTCTGCTTTTTATCCTCCAGATAAATTGCCCAATACTTCCATGCCTCATTAGGACAAGACATTCACAATTATCACCTATGATCAATGCATGATCTTAGCATTTCTTCTGTACCAACAAAGACTAAATTATATTCAAAATGGATTTAGTGTTAAATGTATTTTATTATATGCTGCTTCTTTGAAAAACTCACTTTCTATGAAATATAGTTAATGATAGTGTATTTTTATCTAGTGGACATTAGTTCCTAATGTTGTATGTAAAAGAAAATATTCTAGCCCTTGTTAGAACACTATGTCACACTTCCCCATTCCCTTCTGAAAACCCTCAAATCTTCTGTTCTTGTTTCCTCCTTTATACCACTTTATGAAATTACATCACATTTTCTTTTTTCTTACTTTGACTATGTTCTTTTTTTAAGAGAGATAATTTTTTAATATTTATTTTTTAGTTTCAGTAGACACAACATGTTTATTTTATTTTATTTGTATGTGGTGCTAAGGATCAAACCCAGTGCCCCCCGCATACCAGGCTAGCACCCTACCGCTTGAGCCACACCCCCAGCCCAACTATGTTCTTTTTGATCACTTTTTCCATTCTGGGCTTTTTAACTGCCTATCATTTTTTCCCTGTTGACAAATGAAGCATATGTTTTCATCTAATCACCAAGATCATCCATTTGTAAGTCATACATTTTGTCAAAATGAGTGCAAATGATCAAGGAAATTCTTCACAGAGTCCCCAGTATCTGTATTTAATGTTGACCTTTTGCCTTACAGATTTGTTATAGAATTGTCATTTTGAAATTTCTTTTCATTTCAGGGTTTCTTATCCCTCAAATTCTCTTCATTTTTTTATTCTTGAATTCATTCTATTTTTGTTTTTGCTAAACCACATTCTCAAATAAATTTATTTTTTTCAGAAGTGTGGGCTGTTATTAAATCTCTTTAGTCCCTGCTTGTCTGAAAACTATTTTGCTCAGTAAATAATTTTCCTGAGTATGGAACTATGCTGAAAAAATGTTCCTTCAGGACTTTGAGACATTGCCCCATTATCTTTTGGCAACTAGTGTTTACAATGTTTTGCATGATTATGGTTCTTTTCCCATTCCTCACTGCTCTCCCATCCTCTAGAAGCTTTTAAGATGATGCTTTTATCATTATTATTCTGAAATTTTAGTTATGTGTCTGAGTGTGGGTTTTTCTGCGCTTATTCTTCTGGACATTTACTGGGCTCTTTAATATTGGAGATATGATTTTGTGAAATTATATGAAGTTTTCTTCTATTATCTCTTTTTTCTTCCCTCTATTTTCTTCTTCCTTCTTCTGAAACTCTGATTAGATAGATATTCAACTTCCTAGATGTTATGTTCCATCTCTTTTCAAGTTTATTTAATTAATTCTATTCTTAATTTTTAAGAATATTCTGTTTCCTTTACATGTTCCTTTTGATAACATTCTATTCTTAATTTATTATGCAAAAATCAAATATCTGTGAGGATTTTTTGTCTGTAGCTTACCCATTTATTAATATCCTCATGATAGTTTAGGACCTCGACATGTGTTAAAATAATCTTGTAAATAGATTTTTCTGTGCTTAGAAATTTCTTTCCCTCTTTCCAGCATAATTATGATAGTGTTTCTTGACAATTTTATTAGTCTTTCACTCTATGAACATATTCTGAGCACCTTCTACACTCAAGGTACTGTGCCGTACACTGAGGTTTGAAAAGTCTCCAGGCAGAGCCTATAGAATATTCTAGGAGTTTATAATCCATTATAGTGCTTCTGCAATTTTTTAAAATTCTTGCTAGCTACATACTTTTATAATGGACTGTTTGTATATCCCCCAAGAAGATTCTGTCAGGGGATAATTTCTGTAATTTGTTTTAGAAAAGCAACAGAAACACAGAATTTTAAAAAATGTTTTGCCAAACTTCACACTCCCCACCCATGCATTGATTCCGATCAACACTCTCCTGGTGAACTGGGAATGCTCCTTAAAAATCTATGATCCAGGGCTGGGAATGTGGCTCAAGTGGTAATGCGCATGGTTCGCCTGGCATGCATGGGGCACTGGGTTCAATCCTCAGCACCACATAAAAAATAAAATAAAGATGTTGTGCCCACCAAAAACTGAAAAATTAATATTAAAAATTATCTCTCTCTCTTTAAAAAAAATCTATGATCCAAATGAATACATTAATGCTATAGTGCTATGAAATGATTTTCCACACCGTTGCATGCTCTTTGATCCCACAGGATGAGAAACTTAGCAGGGCATTCTCTCCATAAGAAGATAAGCAATACATTTTACATACATGGACCCCACCTGCAGCATACTTCCCTTCCTGTGTCTTACTAAACCTGAACTTTCTAATAGGTTTGTGTTCAGTAAGAGATTCATGAAGTTCAAACTAAGCCAGTTGAATACAGAGCAGCTCAATACAAGCAGCTTTAACCAGTGCCATTGTTAAGTTCTTGGGGAACCTTTCATTACTCTCATTCTGGGAAAGCACATCTGGTAACAGAAGGAGCACAAATCAAGTGACAGACAGGTCTGAGGTCATACCCTGCATCTGCCACTTGGTAGGTGGGTTTTCTAAGTTAATTTAATGTTGTAGCTTTATGTCTATTTTTTTTGTTTCTTCACAAAATGGGAAATAATCATTATCATAGTATCTTATAGTTGAACCCAAGGGTCAAAGGTTATTGGCAAGTCTGTCACTGTTCAGCTAAAGTACAAAAGTCACTGAAGATAGTTTATGGGTAGGTATCTTCTTTGCTAGAGACACTTTTCCCGTGCTTAACATCCCATCCTAGATACAGTCTGGAGCCCAGGAATCTAGTTCTGCATGCTCGGCAACAGTATACTGGACATCCCCTTTAATTTAGCTTCCTGGATGCCAGAAGGGAACAGGTATTCTAGTTCAATTGCCTTTCTCTTTCTTCCTTCTGTATTATCAAGGCTGATTCAACATATAACAGATTGTGCAGCTCTGTAAAGTCTACAAAACTGTTTAATATGTAACTGTGGTGCTCAGAATCTTTCAGAATCACCAGAGGGTTTATTAAAACACAGACTACTGGCCTCACCACCAGAGTCTCTGATTTAGTAGGTCCTGGATGGGATCTGAGAATGTGCATTTTTGTAGTGCTGGGTACTGAACACAGGGCCTTGCACATGCTAAGAAAGTGCTTTACCACTGGGTTACATGCTCAAGCCCAGAGAACTTGCATTTGAACGAGGTGATAGTTTGGTGACCACATTTGGAGAAACCCTCATATGGATCATCTGAAGACTGTATTAAAGAAGCAGGTAGCACCTACCAGAAATCAAAAGATGCCTTCAAGGGTACTGCTTACCACGGGTTCCTTCCAAATTTGTGTTCATTTTCTGAAGTCACTTCTTTGGAATCAAACAACAAGATCCCTATCAAAGTAAAAACAAAAAATGGGTTATATGTGTTATAAGTGCTCCAATAGACATTTTAATTTACCTCAGACACTTCTCATTTTATTTTACTTTGGCGTCAGTAAACTTTTTCTAGTGTGCCAGAGAGTAAATATTTCGGGGTCTATGAAACATACAGTCTCATCACAATTATCCACTCTGTACAACATTGGGCAGAGAAGTGAATTTGACCTTATTTCAATACAACTGTAGGCCTCTCCAAGCCATAGTTTACCAACTTACATCACACTCAAGGGTCCTGAGGAAGACCCTAATAGAGATCCGAATCCTTTGTCTTTTGGTAGGAGAGGCTTAAATAGGACCCTAAAAAGGGAGGTGAGGTAGTCAACCTTAGATTACCAATAAAGTTTTAAGGATGATAACAGAATCTTTTAGGGAAAGGGTATGGAGAAGAATCCATGGATCTAAAAGAAAACATCTTTGCTTCAGTGACCATCCTTACAGTGACCATTAAGTTCAACACATTCATAATCATAAACTATGATTCTGCTTTAGGCCTGTGAGGTAAAAGTCAAAAAGGAAAGGAAGTCATAGGTGCAGGCCTACATAGTATGCAAACCCCGATGATGGGAAGGAGAGGTCAGTGCAGAGAAGAGAACTCAAACCATTCTGCCCAGCCTACAAGGGCAGCAGGAAGAAGATGAACCTGAAGCAAAACAATTAGCCATAACTCTTGGAATTTTTAAATAGATGTATTTTAAACTTATCTTCTATATCTTGATTTATTTTTTTCCTCTTCTGGGATCTTTTTTTAAAAAAAACTACTATATTGGGCTCTTCTATTTTATTTCATCAAATATCATATAATTCTAGATTGTACATTTCAACTTAGAAATGAGGGTACAAGTTGGGATTTTTGAAAAAGTAGTTAGTATTGATTTGTTCTGGTGCTGTGTCAGACTCTTTCTCTGAGAGAGGAAGTATATCATCCACTGGGGAGTTTTATTTTTTGAGCATGAAAATGCAGAAATAAGTTAGGCAGGTTGAACATCTTCCCTATTTTCAAAACAAGGAAGCCATTACTAGGACATATCAATAACCACTATAGGACTCCAGACCATTCCTTTATCAAGTAATTTTCCTGTTTAGAAGTAGAGGCAGTCTCTCTTCATGAGGATGTGGGGTGGCAGCTACTTGTGAGATACTATTTCATTATTTATTCTGAGCTTCATCTCATTGCCCCCCTCAAATTCTGCATACCTGATAACTTCTAGCTCAGAATTCCTCCACTTTCAGAGATTGCTCAGCTGCCTCTTCCCCTTCTGCTTTCTTCTGTGTTATGATGTGGGGCATCCACCACTATTTCATATGTCAAAATTACCCCTTATCTTTCAGTCTTTCAGGTTTTTGTCAGGATCTCTATTCCTAACCCTGGACATACATCCCCCCTTTTAGTTCTGTTATAGGTGCATTTCCTTATATATGTCCTTACTGTCATTTCAGTGGGATTTGGAAAGAAGAAGTGAAGTTTGAATGTATTTTAGATAAACCTCATTCTAAAGTCTGCTCCTTGGCAAAGAGAATTATAGAAAGTAGTTGGCTATTTATATTAATTTAGTTATTCCATCTTTCAAATTTAGTTCCCACAAGTTCCTTTTTTAAATTCACTTTTTATTTTTTTAGTTGTCAATGGACCTTTTTTAATTCATTTATATGTGGTGCTGAGAATTGAACCCAGTGCCTCAACACATGGTAGGCAAGCGCTCTGCCACTGAGCCACAACCCCAGCCTCAACAAGTTCCTTTGGTATTCTAAACATTAAAATGCTAGTTGGCATACTCTATTACTAAATTATATGTGATACAGATTTATCAATTATATGCAAATGTTAACTGTTATTAAACTACCCAGTCCACACAATTAAAATGTGTATGTACATGTTTACAAAGTTTATAGTTTACAAAGTATTCACATTTATCTCAGTTGAGCCTCTTTATAAGCCTTTAAGTTAGATATATCAGCCAATACTAGATGCTACATAGCATTAAAGAAAATTAAAGCCTTTTGCTTCTAGCCTTGGAGTGACTACTTAACTTGCTGGAAGTGATCTTAATCTTGTATAACTTACTTTTCTTTTACTCATTTTTCGTATCTATGAACTTAGAATAATATTAGCAACTCTCTCAAAGCATGAAGATAAGAAATTAGAATACCTGCAAAACTTTAGAACAGGATCTGGCACATAATAAATAGTCAAAGAATATTAAATATTGTTAGTAGTATTTTCTTTATCATTGTTCCTTTATTACCTTTTACACATGACAATGTGATACCAGATCAGTCAAGTCATTCTTGGACTCAGTAAATAAGAAATAGATCCTGGACACAAATTTGTGTGTTCTATGCACCTGCAAAGACTATGAGTTGGAGATGATCATAAAGGTTCTCTCCTCTCCCTAAGGACCAACCAAAGATTTGTAATGTTGTGTAAATTCTGTGGGTAAAAGTGGGAGGTTTCTATTTTAAATGGACATTCAATGTCTACTTCTGTGCTTCCTTTTTTTCTGTTCAGAAGTAGTTCAACAATTCCAAACACAGTATTTTCAATCTATTTTTAAAAGCTATTTACAAAAAGTTTTACTCTACTACTTCTACTTTTAAATATAGCAAACATTTCAAATTATATAGAAGGACTAGATATTCCACATAAGAATCTGCAATTTTATTTACCAGTGCACACAGCACTGGTAAATAAAATTGCACACATAGCAATGGTTATAATCTGAGGTATCTTCTAATATGACCATTTTGTCTTTGAACCTTCCCCTCTTCACTTTCTTCTCACTACTTTCAGTCCAGTGGACAAGTATAAGCATATGTTATGCTTAAAGATGGTTAAACAAATTCATACCCAGAAGTCATTTACAGAGGATAAGCTTTCCTATGAATTTCAACACAAAATATACAAAATTGCTAATTTTTCTAACTACCTGATCATATCCTGGCAATCTTTTTAACATCTACATTGGAATTCATTTGTCCATTATACACACTACATACACAGCAAAAAGCAAATGCACAAAACACAGAAAATAATGTCTGAGGATGTTCAAGTTTGAACACACTAACATATTACCTTTTGCAATTTCTTCCCTCCCACCTCCTCCCCATCACTGAACAAGTACAGTTAGTACTATACTGCTCATAGAGATGGTTTGAGAATTTCATTCAAAAAACCAATATTTTATATAAATTTTAGCAAAAATGTATTTACAAAGTGATATTTTACTACCTCTACATTTAATATACATCAGGCACTTGTAAACATCTTGATAGACTAGATGTTTCAAGTAAGGACTCAATTTGCCCACTATGTACATGTTAATCTTGACTAAACTTCACACATATAACAATAGTTGTAATTGGAAAATGTCTAGCCCTTCACTGACCCAGTGGGCTATAGCACTTACATTTTCAGAAGACAATCCTTCCTAGGAATTTCAACAACACTTACAAAATTTGTTTACTAATTCTACTTTTATCATACACTAGCAATCTCTTTAACATCTAGAAAGACTAGATGTAGATTAGGACTTATTTGCCCTTTATATACACTACGTACACAGCAAAGTTAGACAAACACATAGAACAATGGTTACTTTTGCCTCATTTTAAGGACACTGGCATGGCACTCTGAAGAACCAGTACACAATGATATATAGTGCTAAACAGGGGGTCTGGCTATTGTCCCCAAAAACATTTCATAAAAATTTTTTAAATTACAAAATGTGTTGTATTTTACTACTTTTCTTTAAATATATATCAGGCCCTTTAGAACATGAAAAAAGACTACTTCATTCATACAGTAACAAGGAATAAAACACACGCAAAAAACAAAGGCTATAATAGGAAAAAAATGTCATTTACATATAAGCAGCCTGGCACAGGACCTCCTCCTCCTCACAGTGGGAGTCTTCCCCATGTCCTCTAACCCACTGAACAATCATGGACAAGTGTGGCTCCTAGAGGTCTAACAACTCCATTTCATGCACTTGCAGGACACAATTCTGATTTTTTTTAAAACAAATGGGCATTTACAAGATGTGTTATTTTCTGACTCTATGATGCCTTGACAACCTCTCTACATTTACAATGTCCAGATGCAGCAGAAGCGTCAACAGTTAGGGGGAAAGTTGGGAGCAGCTTTTTCATAGTAAATACACAGACACAGACCTTCTACAAACGGCCAGGGTGGAGGACACTTCCAATTGGTCACACATGGTGTGTCCCTCTGCCCTTTCTCTCTACTGTAGAACCGACACCCACAGCTGGAAGGCTGGGCCGCTGACCCTTCCACCCATGGGCAGCTAATGGCTCCCGCCTTGGGCAGCTAACCATTCCCTCTGTGGACCAGTAACTGTTCTCCCCGTGGACCACTGACCATTCCCCACAAGGGCAGCTAACCATTTTCCCCTGGGCAGTTGATGGTTTCCCCTGTTGAGCTAATGGTTGCCCCCATGGGACGCTAACTGTCCCCACATGGACCACTAAGGGTTCCCCCCATGGAAGGCTAACTGCCCCCCCCCTTGTGGTCTGCTAAGTGTCCCCCCCCCCTTGTGGTCTGCTAACTGTCCCCTCACAGGCCCGCTAACAGTTCTCCCCATGGGACACTAACTGTCCCCCCATGGGACGATAACGGTTCCCCCCATGGACCACTGACGCTCCCCAGTGGACCCCGAAGGGTCCTCCCGGTGGGGAGGGGGGCACTGACCACTCGCCCCGCCCTCACCCGGGGCTTCGCGCACTTTCCAGGACGGTTTTGCTCTGTCCCCCGAGTGTAGGAGGAGGCGCCGTCTCGGGAAGCGGCCCAGGGCCCTGACCTGCGGGCTCCGCTGTCCAAGGGTGGCCGGGCTCTGGGGTCCCCTGGCCTCCTGGAAGCCCCTGCTGTGCTCGTGCAGCCGCCGCTCTCCTCACCCTAACCCTCTCCTCCGTGCCACACGCCTCACCTCGCCTCGCCT